TCTTCATTGCTAATCCAATGCAAAGTGTAAAAACTAAAAATCCCTGATCACCCCCCAAGAGTAGTACAATGTTACTATGGTAACATTGCATTACTCTGATTAAAGTATTTTTAAAAAATTGTAAGAAAAGAAAAATGTTTAAAAAAAAAATTCTTGAGAATTTTTTTTAACCACTTGACACCCACCCAATAATGTACGGGTGAGTGGTGGCTCTGGGCAAAGCAATGTAAGATTACTATTCTATTTCCAGGTGTGTGTGTGCATGCATGCACCCCCCACTGCCCCCTATGCTTTCCAGAGAGAGAAGAACAAACACAGCACTAAGAAAAAGCACTATATTTTGAATGCATATATTATATTAGCACATTTAACTCTTTGATCGCCCCTATTAACCCTTTGTTCACCCGTCACCAAGCTAGTGCCATTAGTACAGTGCCAGTATATAGAATTTTTCACTGATCACTATATTACTGCCACTAGCGACATCAGCAGCAGGGTTAGTTAGCACCCCTCCCACCTTGCCCGCACACTATTGCACTCACGCTATAGATTGTTGATCACTATTACTAGTATGGTGTTTGTATGGATCAATATATTGATCACAAACAGAACTATACTAGTGCCTCCTTAGTATAGTGTCCCCAAAAATGCAGTGTTAGCAGGATCAACTCCATTCGCTGCCAGCACTAGCGTTTAGCCCCTCCGCTGTTTTTCACAGAAGATTTGTATCTATTGATTGTGGTCCAAAGCAATTTATATGCACAACAATACATCGCCGCCCACCTAAATTCAGCTCTTGCTAGGCAATTTGCATGGAAACCTATCATGGTTTCTGAATTTAAAACTTTTTTTTGGGCCTAACCCTCAGCATGAGCATTACAAAAAAGAATGTATTGGACTCAACCTGCCTCTCAGCAAATTCTTTGGGGTGTCTACTTTCCAAAAAGGGGTCTTTGGGGGTTCTGTACTGCCCTGGCATTTTAGCACATCGAGAAATGTGATAGGCAGTCAGAAAGTAAAAGCTGTGTAAATTCCAATATACAGTTGGGTCCATATGTATTTGGACACAGGCACAATTTTTGTTGTTTTTCAGGTATTTACCAAAACACATTCAAGCTATAGTTATATAATGTATGTCAGGCAGAAAAGGTATTTATAAATAGTCTTATGAGATTATATGCTGCCATGGTATGCTAGGAAAACATATTCTTTTAGATAGAAAAGGAAGGGTTAGAACATCTGTTAGCTTTTTATTACTATCAAGTGGGATTTGCTTTGTCAGTACTATGCTCAATAAACTCTCTTAAAGGAGAAGTACAGCCAAAGCTCTTTTGGCTGTACTTCTGTGGATCACAGGAGTGCAGTTCGTTCTGCTCCCCTGTGACCCATTTTCAGCTGATAGCGAGCTGAAGCCGATTGAAAAATCTGTGGAGGGAGCTGAAAGTTTGAGTTGCCAAACGTCAGCCACCAAACCTTGATGAGTTAGAGAGGATCTGCCAAGAGGAGTGGGCCAAAATCCATCCTGAGATGTGTGCAAACCTGGTGGTCAACTACAGGAAACGTCTGACCTCTGTGATTGCCAACAAGGGATTTGCCACCAACTACTAAGTCATGTTTTGTGAAGGGGATCAAATACTTATTTCCCTCATGAACATGCAAATCAGTGCATAATTTGTTAGACATGCATTTCTTCTGAATTTTTTGTTGCTATTCTGTCTCTCAGTGTTACAATACACCTACCTTTCGATTTCTAGACTGATCATGTCTTTGTGAGTGGGCAAGCATTCAAAATCAGCAGGGGATCAAATACTTTTTTCCTTCACTGTATGTTTACAACACAAGGGATATGCTGTTGCATCTAAAAAACACTTTCTACTGAATAATTTGTATGGAGAACTCTAAAGTATACAGTATATAAACCCTAACAATGAACTTCTCTTATTTGCTCTCTTTTGTTCTGAAAAAAATGCCATTGAATGCTTTTGTTATATCTATCTGATAAGTGCAAAATGAGGACTTTTGACTTACCTGTAATTTCCATATCTTGGAGTACAGGACACAGGCAACATATTTATAAGCCATGGTCTCCTAGATTGTAAGCTCACTGTTCTGATTGTAGTTTATATTGTGGCACAAGTAAGAAGCACGGCAACAAGCACTTTATTTTTGTATTTATTAGCATTGTTTTAATGTAAATTCACTGTAGCTGATGGTTTGCAATGCACCTTATGAATATAGTATAATCACATAGGTATATGGTTTTAGCACTGTATGGCAGAGTTTAAATATTAACTTTATCTGATTGTTTCCATTTTTTCACACTGCTGAAACTTTATAAACACATAGATATTCTTCAAGAAGAATTCCAGGTTTAAAAGGAAAGCAGGAGGACTATCAGGTACACCAGGTATTTCAGACAAAGAAAGCTATATGAAGATAACAGGATACTTTTCATACAAGTACATGGCACAGCAAGCTCATATCAGAAATATGAAATGTTGGGTTTACATATTCTTCAAACATCTTGACTCATTCACTCAACTTTCTTTGTACTGATATCGTAGAATATAAACCCTTTGCTGTCTTCATAGGCACCATTCCCTTCTGGTAAAGCCCTGTGTGTTTTGGATAGTATGTCCCCTGCTGCACTCCATGTGACTTGGGTTCAGCAAAGGAGTGATGTCACACAGGGAAGGACAGGCTATGCAACACACCCAGAAGTTTCGGATAGCAGCAGTGCATGGTGCTCATGAAGACAGTAACGTTTTAACTAACCAGATAAGCAAGGGTTGCGTTACATGCTAGGATAAGTGTTAGGAATTGGTGATGTTTGGGCATCCTGGGTGATCACAGGTAAGGCCTAACTCCAGACAACACAATAAATTGCCCTTGCGGTGTTTCTCCCTTCACACAGAAAGGATTAGCAGGTTAACAATGAGGTGAAATAGTCCCCTTACATTCCTCACTCCCTCCTTCTCTCCATAAGACCAGTCAGCTAAAGCCGCTCCTCGCTATCTGATGTCATCATATACACTGCAGGACCAGTAGTCCTGCATTGCACTAAGACGTCGAGGGCCTGCTCACATCCAGGGATGTCAAAGAGTGTTGGATTCCAGGTGAGCAAGGAATTACTGCTAGGTATAAAGATAGATAAAAGCCTGTGCTGAAATGTATTGCTGGTGCTTACAGAGAATGTACTATATGTTTGAAATACCTTTAGGCTAGCATTTAGTAGTGTGATTAATTAGATTTTTTGGTGTGCAAAACTGTGCTGCATTAAACCATTTGCCCCCAAAAACAGAATGCCTGTTTTATTTAACAAAATAATATATTTTTTCATTCATGGCAAGTAAGAGGTAATATTTTTTCCCCAAAAAATAATGTGATTATGTAATGTGGATTATTATTATGGAATGTTCTCTTGATTCATGTGAAATGTCAATTTTATTGATAGGTGGATAAAATGTGATCATTTGCCTAAGCATTAGGTCATATGAGCATGCATGTTTTTCATTCATTCATGCAAAAAAAAAAAAAAAAAAAAGCAAACAACAGCAGCTATTTCACTAAAAATACCCGTGTCGTATGGTTTTTACTACCATGTGTTCTAGTTGAATTTCAATAGCAGCTCCACTTAAGACGATAACCCCCTAAAAAAACACTTGACTGTAGGCAAATAAAACCTCTGCCAATGAAATTTTATTTTTTAAAAAATGATGACCACTAAAGTGAGACCATCTGACAAATTTTGGCATGTTGTAAAGCACCTGTGTGATCAGGCTCCCATGGAAGAACTTCACTGTAACTCATGCTGTATGCTGATTTAGAAAAATGGTGAGTAGGTTTAGCTTCCTTCCCTGAAACCAATATGCAGTTCATAATTCAGGGAACGGCTTCTTCCATCACAAGCTAATCATGTGGGCATTTTCCTGTCTGACAGATTACTTTTAATCTTCATAGACTTAAGCCACGACCTGTACAAAAGCCTTCCCCATTAAATGCACCTTCTGCCTGGAGAGGCACAACAGTCAGAAAGATTCTGAACGGATTCACTTTATGCATTTTTGCAAAATGTGGATTTTCATGGGCAAAATGTTGGGGTTGATTTACTAAAACTGGTGCAAACAGAATTTGATGCAGCTGTGCACAGTAACCTAGAAGCTGACTGGTTATTATGCACAAAGTTTTAGTAAATCACTCCAAGTATGTTGGTGGCAATTTTGCAATTTAAATTGGTATATTGCTTTTTGCTCCCTTGATGTTGCTAATAAACCAAAGGGTATCTTTATAACATACTAACCTAAGGAATCCTTGATTTTTTTTTTTTTGTATTTGAAAAATTATTGGATAGGGAAACCGTATTATTTAGCACATTTAAAATGTTAGAGAAGTTTCTTAGCCAAGCGGATCTCCGGAGAAGGGTGCTGCACAGGCTGTCCTGTACACAAGGTACATGTGAGGCCAAGTGTAGGAAACGGTGTTCCTGTTGACAGACGTTAGGAATGCCAGTTCATACCAGAGACTTACTGTGCTGTATAGACTGTACAATCAGAACAATATGAAAGCTATGTCTGCTTCAAGAAAGAGCAGTGCAGTAAAAAGCAATGTAAACAGTTCATGGACAATATGAAATTAGATCACTTTATTTTGTGAACATTTGAACAATAAAAAATGTTCTTAGCCTATGCGTAGAAGGAAGCATTCATGAAAGCTCTTTACACAATTTGTAAGAAAAAAAATATTAATAAAAAAGGCATTTTCTTAAGAGAACTGTACAAGAAAACATTCAAACATCTGGATACAGACTGTAGAATTATCTGTTGCTTGAAGTGTCTGATACATAAATGTTTGTGGAGAAGTTGGTCATCGCTGAGCTAATTTCCTGTCAAATTCTGGCAGTCACAATGATAGCAGGTAGAAATAAGGCCTATTATTAGGAGTAATCCAAGTGCAGGCATTTTTTTCTGTAGTTACAGGATGTCAGATTATTGCTGTTCATTTTAAACAGTTTCTAAAGCAGCAGACATCTCTTTGAATTGTTTGTGAAAATTCTAAAAAAGAATGTAAAAGTAAATTGGTGAAATATTTAATACTTCATTGCTTGATATGTAAAGATGATCCAATCTGTTCACAGAAAAGAACAAGTTTTAGCAACATACCCCCTGTACATACACTATTCACACTATTGTGTTTTGGTAGCCAGTGGAAATGCACTTTCATTCTGTCATTCACTGTAAACATACCAGCACAGTACAAGACATTTGTGGTATAAACTGCATGTCTGTTTTTCCATGTGTTTTGAGTAATAGAACTGAACTCTAGGAAGCAATGCCCCTCCCAAAAAATAATAAAATCAGCAGTTTTGACATGTCGACAACTTCACTGAATGCATGCTTGTTTTGGTTCAGTGACTAAGAAAGTTCTGAAACAAACAATTAACATTTTCAAATGGAGGTCAGCAATGTTAGCCTTCATGTTTGTCCCACGAAAAGATTACTTTAAAAGGGATTCTAAAGGTTGAATTATTTATTCTTAATAACAAACATGTTATACTTAGCTGCTCCTTGCAATGGGGGAGGAGAAGTACTTGCTTCTGAGTTGCGCTCCTGTGAATGGACACTGTTTGTTAACACACAGGGCTTGGTCAGGCTCCCTGCTCTTTCCTCATTGGATCACTGGATGAGATTGAGCCAGTGAGGAGATAGAGACTCGGGTAAGTATAAGGGGGTGCTGAGAGAATAGCTGCACCCAGAAGGTTTTTTACCTTAATGCATACAATGCATTAAAGGATAAGTTCACCTTTGGGAACATGTTACATCTTCCACCCGTTTTTTGGGTGCAACATGTAACATGCTTCCATAGCCACAGCTGCCACCTGCCATCCCCGCTCCCTCTGACAGATAGTACGGGGAGACTTATCTCCGTATTAACGGTCAAATTTGAAACCAGCGCGGTCATGCGGGGCTCCACCCATACAGCCACATCATTCATTCACTGAACTGCAAGTCCCGACAGCCTTAGCGGCTGTCGCGACTTGTAGTTTTCAATGAACTACCACAGCACTGTGGAGCACTGTGGTAGTTTATTGAAGCTTCCCGTCAGGATATCTGCTTGCTCATACATCCTGTACGGCAAGCACATATTCTGACAGGTCTGTAGGAGATCTACTGATCGCTGGTGTAATGCTTTCCAGGCCCCTGTAGACAAAAATAATAAATGCACATTTTTTACCTGCAGAAAAATGTGCATTTATTATTTTTGTCTAAAAGATGAACTTATCCTTGAAGGTAAAAAAATCTTCTGCCTTTAGAACCACTTTAAGCTATTAAAATTGCCCACTGAATTCTTTATATAGTGGGAACATGAAGTGACAGGAGGGTAGCTGTGTCCATTTTGCTTCCCAACTTTCTGAAAAGGTGGAATAACAAACTGAAATTTTAATCCAAAAAAAAAAAGTCAGCAGTAACTTTCACCAACCTGAAACTCAGCAATAGACATCTCAAAGACTTTATTTGTGACCTGACCAGAAGAATCTGCCACTTTTAATGACACAGTCACATATGGATGATTTAGGGATCGGCAGTTGTCTGAACTAACTGCCATTCCAATTTTCCACTGAAAATCGACAAGCTGTAAAAATATAAAACATATAGGACTGATGAATAACAATCAGTTAACCTCTCTTTTTTTCCATCAAAGGTCTCAAAGAATGCAAAATTATCTTGGGGTGGGTTTACAGCTGATAGTTTTTTAGCTTGTTGCAGTGCACATATGTTGCAGTGCCCCCACAATGTACTAATGTATGTTGTGATGCATTGCACCAGAGAGGTGTGAATGGGTGCTTAGACAGTTGTCACTGGAACGCATTCCCATACATTCAGGAACTAATATAATGATCACTGGGAAGCTCGTCAGGGAAACCTGTGTGTACCATGTAAAGCCACATATGAGTATTGTATTGATTTATCTGAGGCATGCTAAAGTCTCCATGAAAATCCAACTTGGGGCTTGTGAGCTTGAGCTTCTGTATATTTTGACAAAGCAAAAAAAGTAAAAATTCTGTAACAGTAGTACTTAAATTGTTTCTTGGGAATGCAGTTTTTTTTTGTATTAGTTGTGGAGTAGGGGGAGATTAGTCAAAATTTTACTGCGGCTTCTTTCTACAGTGCTTTGGGAAGATTCACTACCAGTCATGACTCAAACAAAAAAATAAAATATCTTAGTAAAGTGAGGAAGTGTTAGAACTTCTAAAAGGCATCTCATACATTTGTCAGTTTTTTTCTTTCAACCAATAGGTTGAACAAAAAAAAAAAAAAAAAAAAATTACCTGACTCCCCCATCCACACATTTGAGGTGGCTGGAGGAATCTTCCCCGCTGAGCTATTGTATTCTGACAGCAGGGAGACTGCCACGCTGTCAGAATACACTAATCAGTGCTGCATGGGAAATCAAACAGGGCAGTTGTACAAAATTCTATTAGTAGACAACCACAGTGTCCATGCTTGAATCAAAATTCTGAAGCAGCCGAATTTCGATGCATATATAGCCATCTTAAACAAAGTTTTATTAGCCATCTGTGCCTTCCTATGCAAGTGATGACTGCACCCCGATTTCTTATATGGACAGAGAAAGCAAAAAAAAAAAAAGATTCTGACTCCCATTACCTAATCTACTAAGGAATATTTTTAAAAAATATTTTGCTTGCGGCTGGGTTTTAAACTGTGGCATACACACTGAATACTAGCCATACAAACGGAAACTTCAATACAAAATACTAGTGCAATATTACAACCAAATACATTCAGCATATGCAACATAATATTGTATAAATCAGTACCAAAACAAAACATAAGAATGTTATACAAACAAATATGGGTGAAGTCAGTAAAACACAATCAACAGTCTTCTGGTGCTATGGCCATTTATAACAACCTGCACCATATTCAAAAATTCCTATTGCCTTTTTTGATAACTTTGCACAGAGTGTCTGTATGTGAATAGCAGGAAAAATCTTACATTTGAGGAATGAAACAAAACAAGAGAGCGGTAGAAGGTACATTATACTTATATTTAAACATTTTTCATTAATTTTATAAAAAATGTAAGTTTAGTGACACTCTAAGAGGCAAAGTCACATAACTTTACCAGAATGTGTGCGTCTAATCCAATACTGATACCATGGTACGAGAATTGTAATCCATTTTATAATCTGTATATGAATCTTACTTGCAAGGCCGGTAACAAATCTTTGGATCCTTCATTCTCTAACAGAGTTTTTCCCTCCTCATTCCACACATGACGGATGACTTGCAAGATCTGCTTTGGCAATTTGTATTTGTTTACAACAAAATTTAATAGTGCATCACTTGAAAGTCTGTGCTTTGCAGCAGTACTGTACATCAAGAGAAAAAAAAATACTTAGAAGTGGGTGTTTTCGATCATACAAGTTAAAAATAAATTGCAAATACTATTACGACAGAGTAAATCCAGTTTCTAGGAACAATTATTCTATAAACTGCTACTGTTAACAAAAAAAACTTCAGTCTGCAAGTCCTGAAAATCTGCTATACTTTTCGTACTAGATCAATTTCCCACAAGCCAGAGCTTCTGAGTAAGACAAGAGCTTCTTTCCACCTTCTGTACTGTGCATCCTTTCTTCTTGGAAACCACAAATCAGGGGATTGAATAATGTAAAATAAAAGTAGGGACAGGCACAAGTATAACTTAAAATTAAGGATAAGTCTCCCCGTACTATCTGTCAAATTTGAGTGTACTCTGAGATATTTTGTTTTGCAGCTATCCTGAGACTATTTAAAGCACAACTCCAGGAGAAAAAAACTTTTGTGGATAATCTTATTATCCACTTTTTTATATACACTATGGTATTAAATAATACATGCACATAATACACAAGAAACAATTACTCACACACATAAATTCTACTGAAGTAGACTCTAAACTTGAGTGCTCAACTCCCTCTGCTGGTCAAAAATCATAATGCACATCCACGTAGTGTACAAGTCACACTACCTAATGACATTTGCATAAGGATGATTAATACTTTGAGTTATCTGTGGCCCTATGAGAGCAAACAACTTGGTCAGCAAATTCACAGACTGTACAGAATCTTCAAGGCAGCCAGACTTGGCACGTGAAGGGCAGGATTGGCAGATACTATCTGCACCTGTTCTGGTGTGCAATGCCAACTTAAAATGGACCCATCATTTAATGACTGATTACATGCTGCGCTTAATATGGGGGCTGCCATAGCTGACCTTCAAAACCCCAAGACAAGCATGCAGATCAGTAAAATCAGAGTCACTTACTTTATCTGCAAACTATTTTCAGGAAAGTATTGATACAATTGGATGTGCACAGCAGCCAGAAAGCCAGCATTTTCAGGCAAGCAAAGGCAACCATCAGAAAATATATATATATAGTATGGACATGTGAAAGAGCTGCTGGTACTGCTGATAGCAACTAAGCTGTTTTTCCTCTTAATTCTGTCAGCTTGCCATATGTAAAACTAGAAGGTTTGCATTTCATAGTTTTGCACATTGGGCCAATGTCCCACTAGTGATTGTTTTGCTGACAACACCTCACCAGTGAGAAAAACTGCTAAAATGTGCAGTGAAAATACTCACCTGTTTTTATCTGTTGCTTCCTTGCTGGCTGGATGAGCATGGCATATAGCTAGTGAAGGAGCAACACATGTAAACTGGCGAGTATTTTATTGCCCTGCTGTACTCTACTTATTGATTCTGTTGCTGGCAACAGCTAGAAAAAGAATACCATAGAATCTTGGCTCAGATTTGGTTATGGGAGATGCAAGGTAAACTATTGCTAAATTGCTGCAAAATACAGAAAAGGGGTACATTCACACTATGGTGTTGCTGTAATGTGAGTGTTACAGCAATGCATATTGTATACATTGGTGTGATGTGGTGCCATTTATTTGTATGGCACCCAATCACACCTTGCTGATGGATATGCATTGCAGAACAAGGCAATGCATCAAAGTGTGGTGTGCTGCCAAAAAATGAGAGAGATGATAGAGACGATAGCGGTGATAGAGAGAAACATATTTCTGCCAGGTTAATTGGCTATTGGCTCTTACATCAATACCTTCCTGGCATGGTGCAATTTCTTATCCATCTACAGTGTTATTGGTTTACCTGAAAAGGCAGGTCACTGCATTGATCACATTTCTAACTTCATCAGCGCTGGTTTCCACACCAACCGCTTGAAATCTCTGTTAATAAAGATGACAAAAATGTGAAGATTTTGTTGATATTGGTAAAACAAAGAGAAATGGAAGTCATAGGTCTACAATAGAAGACATTTTCCTACACTGAGCTGACAGGAAAAGGCTACATTGGCACACATCCAATGCAAAAATGTAGCAAAGGATCATATTTTGGGGAAACAGGACAGAAGTTGCAAAGAAGGATGAATCTGCAGAGGCACAACATCAAGGAACATAAGGAAGATGAGTTCTGCACACCTGTGGACATCATTTCTCACAACCAGACCACACTAACCCTAGGTTCACACCAAAACGTTTTCCGCAGCATTTTCCAATTTATGGAAATGCAGTACAGTCCCATTTAACATGATTTCCTATGGGCCACGTTCACATCTCCGCATTTTCACCAGATACGTTTTTTGGAGAGGGTCAGGGACTTTTTTTGAAAGCAAAAAGTTGCGTTTTTGGTTCTATAGACTTCAATGGAAACGCTGCAGAAAAGCATGTAGTGCATGCGTTTTGAATATGCCTAGCAACAAGAAAAAAACGTGACCCGCATAAAAAAAAAAAGACGCATCGTGCAAGAACGCAAAATGCACCTCAAAAATGCAGTACTGAAACGGGTCAAACGCAACCTGCACAGGTGTAAATCTAGCCTTAGAGGGACCTCAATGTCTTAGTTCTTAAAGGGAATTTCAAAACTACTCACGAAAGAAAAACTTTTGAACTAATAATGGCAGTTCTACTTGACACAAAAGATAATGGTCTAAATCTAGACCTGGGTTTACTAAATAATTATCCAACAGTTTTATGACCCCCTCTGTGTATGTCCTCCCCTCCAGTCTATAGTTCCTTCTCTGTTTGTTTGTTTTTTTTCCTCAGAGATGGTCTTATTTTAACACTCTGCTAAAACTTGGTGCATTAGTACTGCTTGGACCTTGAAGAAGGAGGTACACCCTGAAAGCCTTTCCTGAAAAATTGTAAGTTAGTGCAAGTAAAAAAAAAATAAAAAGTATCACGGACAGTACTCAATTGTTTCCGTGCATTAATACGACTACAAACACCTCTATTCCTCAACAGTAATTGTTAACTTGGATTAAAATTTAACCTATGAAAACATTGTTGCCGTGAAACAGCAAGGATGTCTGCAGGTCATTTTAGTTTTCTGACTGAGCATTCTGGAAGCCTAAAATCCTGGAGAAGTTTGGAATACACCAGAGCTAACAGGTCTGTACCTGCCATTGCTGACAACAATCATATCCCCCTTCTAGATTTTTTTTATTTTTTTTTACCTTAGATCTACTTTAAAGTGGTTCTAAAGCCTTAAGGTTTTTCAATGTAATGCATTCTATGCATTAAGGTGAAAAACCTTAAGAGCTGCAAAATCCCCCCCATTCTTACCAAAGCCTGATCTGATTCAGCGATTAACATGAAAGCAGCAGCTCTCACCATTGTCTCCCTCCTTCTTAGTCAATACAAATGTTGTGCCAAGGGAGTGGGAGGGCAGGGCCGAGCTGCCCGCTCTGTGTCAATGGACGTAGACAGGGTGGCTCGGGAGCTAGTCTGCACAGGTGCCCCTATGGAAAAAGGCTTTCCCTGTGGGCCCCCGCCAAAGAGAAGGGGCCAGGATTGCCATCAGGGGACCCCAGAACAGGAGGATCGGGGTTGCTCTGTGAAATACCATTGCACAGAGCAGGTAAGTATAACATGTTTCTTATTTTAATTTTTAAAAAAATGAAGTTTTAATGTCACTTTAACCACACACCCCCACCCTATAGCAGACGTACTGCTACAGGGTGGCAGGGATGTGCAAAAATCACGTATACGTACGTGATTTGCATCTCCGGGTAGGGGGAACACGCTGTCCTACCTGCGCCGCTATTGGCTGCTGAACATGGCAATCACCGGGTCCTGGCCAGCGATTCTTGGCTGAGACTTGGTGATCATTGGCAGAGCTGACAGGGGAGATACCTATGTGTAAACAACACAGGTCTCTCTCCTGTCAGCATAGACATGCTGCTTTGTATTTCTCTGCACAGCAGGGAAATACAAAGCAGTATGTCTCCCTAGTAAACCACAACACAGCATATAATGTAAAACGCAAACAGCACACAGTTAATCCTTTGATCGTCCCAGATGTTAACCCCTTCCTGCCTAGTGTCATTAGTACAGTGTCAGTGGTTTTTATTAGCACTGATCACTGCATTTGTGCCACTGGGGATGTCAGTGGCAGTTAGTCAGTTCCCAACCAGTGCCAGAATGCCCACTGCAGTCCCGCTAAAAGTCACTGATCACGGCCATTACTAGTATATAAAAACAAAAAATTCCAGTATATATACCGCCTTTTGTGGACACTATAACTTTCACATAAACCAAATTTACACATATTGGGGTTTTTTTTTTTTTTTCGCAAAGACATGTAGCAGAATATAGTTTGGTCAAAATTTATGAAGACATTTTATTTTCTTAATTTTTTTACTGGATATGTTTTATAGCAAAAGTCAAAAATATTGGTTTTTTTTTTCAAAAATGTTGGTCATTTTAATTTTATAGAGCAAAAAATAAAAACTGCAGAGGTGATCAAATACCACCAAAAGAAAGCTCTACTTGTGTGGGAAAAAATGACTTACATTTTATTTATGTACAGTGTTGCATGACAGCGCAATTTTCAGTTAAAGTAACGCAGTGCAGTATTGCAAACAATAGCCTGGTCAGGAAGGGTAAATCCTCTGGAGAGCAAGTGGTTAAGTAAACAATGCTTTTCTTTTTTCTAGTCTATACCATACCTGACAAAAATGAATCTGATCCACTCCAACACTCTGACACTGCAGATAGGTAACAATTTGCTGACACTTAAAAAAAAAAAAAAAAAAAAAAAAAAAAAAGGAAAAAGTGAAATCTTTATTTCTTAATACAAATTATGTAACATCAAAAAAAGGTGAACTATTTTGTAATTTGTTCGGGAACAAAGCACAGTTTTCTCCAGGTCAGCTGTATACATTGAAAGAATTCCAGCAAGCTTGATAGCTATATATTCAGAAAAGACACACCAGGGCACTTGCCAAGATCGTTCTGGTAATTGGGATGGTTTGCTTTTATTATAATCACATATTTAGTCCCAGGGTTGGAAAAATGAATGCAGTGCAAAGACTCTCCTTTATGCATGTGATTCTCTTTACAAGTATTTCAACAAAGGAGCAACCTCTGATGCAGTAAATCTAAGGACATTGACATATCCTGTGCAAATGGGTTTCTGCAATTTTTAAAGGCATAAATAGGTACATCAAATTTATATGATAATCCTGATCAACTTTAATGGCCAATACTTGCTTTCAGATTTTGCTGGAAAAGGATTTGTAATTCTGTGCGATTTATTTTCAGTAGGACAGGTGATCAATGTAGTCCCTGATTAATACTGCATCTCATTACATTAAGGTTGATAGGATTAGTAGTTTACAGAACAAAGATAATGCTGTTTGGGCTTTTTTAGCCTTGCTCATAGGAAGTGACTGTATTTCAAGATCTACAGATATTTTCCCCACTTCATGAAAATGTTCTTAGCTTGAAAACAGGAAACTAATGCAACCACACATCTAAGGACTAGAAGGTGGTGATATATTATTTTGCTTTTGTGTTTAGTTATCTTACAGTTTCAGCATAAAGCCCTTCATGGAGCTGCCCAGATAATGCATTTATAGAAAACGGTGCTTTTTTTTTTTGAAGCAGCAATGTATTTTATGGCTATGTTTTTTTTTTTTATATTAACCGTAAGAAGCATATTTATAAAGAAATGACGTAAAATAACATTCTCCAGCATCTGGTTTTTAGTGAGAAAAGGTGCTTACTGTAAAATAAACCCTATCTATATCCAAAGTACTGAACTTCAGTTTTTACACAGGTTCAACACTTGAAAAGTTATCAAAGAATTGCAGGTATGGATATTTTTGCCTGGTTTTATTAGTCCAGCATGGGCCAATGTAAGTATACATAAACTATGCCTAGAAATCAAGCACCTGGTTTCTCAAGTTCTTCAAAAAGCTCACTGCCCAGCCAAACAATACAATGAATTAATGTCCATAGGGTTTGGGAACCATGAATTGTATTCTATTTCCCCCCTACCTCAATTTAAACAGTAACTCCACTTTTGTTGTGAAAAAAAATACACAATACCCTCTGGGAGATCTACAGTATGTACATTGCAAGGATTTTACCAAACGGTGTTGCACTGTCCTACTGGTTTCTGTTCTTAAAGTGCTACTAAAACCACAACAGTAAAATCTGGCTGTACATGCAGTAAAGAAGTCTTGTTATACTCACTGTGGAACCTAAAGGGTTAATCCTCATTGTGTAAAAAGGCTGTTTGATCAGGTCTTCTCTGATCTTCCCCTTCTTCTGCAGTCCCCAACCCAACTGCTGATAGAACAGAGGCTAGGGGGCAAGCTGCACATGCTCAGTTTGGGGTGTATTGCTAGAGAGGTTTTTTTTTCTTCTTGGGACTGTCCAGAAAGAGGGTCAAGGGTTATGCAGCCTCACTGGATAATCAGGGGAGAATGAAAGCACCCCCTACATGCTTTAACCAGTGCTCTGCTGGACACTGATAGCCACAAAACTGCTCTGACTGCTGATGAGCTGTATGTTCTGTGTACTGTGAATGCAGGCTCCTGGGTTTAGTAACACTTTAAGACAAAACTGTATATTCTACTATATCCTTGGAACTCTGCTTAATTCAGATTCCTCCATCCACACATCAGAATACACTGCAACCAGTAATTGAGGTAGATTTTTCCCTTCCTCCTAGATTGTAAGCTCTGACAAGCAAGACCCCCTGTTTCCTCTTGTAACAAATTGTATTGTAACTAATATCTGCCTTAATTTTGTAAAGCGCTGTGCACACTGTTGGCGCTATATAAACCCTGTATTGTAATAATAATAATTTTCCAACATCAAGCAATCAACTTCTTTTGAGTGGGGATGGCCACACATTGAATGGATTTAATTAAGTGTTCAGCTAGCTTTAGATTCTTTAACTCTACTCTACGAACGCTGTTTCTCCATGGCTACTGGCTGCTTTTATCTGCCCCCCACCCCCCATCCGCACGCTGTCTGTCCTTCCTTCCATTTTACCTTTTCCCCGTTTTTCTTTTCCTTCTCTCCCAGTTTCTATCTCCTGGGTTTCATAGGGGTCTGGAACAGATAGTCCCACATTCGTCTCCCACCTTCAGTGGCTGCAGCCATATACCTTGGTTGCCTAGATCCCATTACACCTCATGTCACCGCTTTTATGCTTGTTACAATGTTAAGAATCTCACATTCTAACATCGATATCAATGATTGCACACTTGGTAAGTCCCAGAACAAAATATATGCATACAAACCATTTGGAAAATTGATACAAATTCACTGAATGGGGAAAAAAGGCCCCAAAGTATTTTTTGCTGTAATGCATGAACACACGGGTTGATTTACTAAAACTGGAGAGCGCAATATCTGGTGCAGCTGTACATTGTAGCCAATCAGATTCTAACTTCAGCTTGTTCAATTAAGCTTTGATAATAAAACCTGGAAGTTGATTGGTTTCTATGCAAAGCTGCACCAGATGTTGCACTTTCCTGTTTTAGTAAATCAACCCCACTGTGGTGAAAATCCCCATGTAAACCTACAAAAAATCCCTAATACCCATTTTTAAGATCATTCCTTGAAACAAAAAAAAAATGCAAGTGACTTCCATTATTGCATATAAACATGTAAATGGGCACTAAAACACAGAAGGTTAAATAGGCACTTACAGATCTTTCAAGGCTCACAGGTTATTGTACCAAAGTGTTTATTGGTCATAAAAAAGCTCTTCATCATTTTACCCATGAAACTCTGGACAGATCAGAAAACAAAATCTTTTATGGGTCACTAGGGGTGGATTGATTGCAGTAACATGCCGTAAAATGTGCAGTATAGCCAAGCATGTGTATTTGTGTTTTGGTGCCATCTATTTTAAATGGTACATAAACACACATACACAGTGCACCATAACACACATATAAAGCACATAATATATAACACTCTGTGCACTGTGGTGTTCTTGAAAAAAGATGTAGAAGCAATGTTAATTCAGCCTAGGGGGTTGTTTGTGAAACACTGCCATTTAACCCAACAATGTAGTTTATGTAGTTCATGGCAGAAAAGCCTCAGACTACCCCCTGCATTTTGATTCTAGACAATAATGTTTTTTTAATGTTTAGTCAAACATTGAAATAAACAAACAAACAATCAGCACAAGAGACATCAATCATATTATCAACGTGAAGCGTCCCTTCTGCTGAGGGCTGCTGCTTTAGTTGAAATCCTCTGTCTCTGCCTGCTAATTGTACACTGTTCTGGCTGGAGAGGACACTGTAACTGAGGACCTGCAATGTAAGGAACTCCCTGCTTCTGTCTTATTCAGTCTAAGATTTCTAAACCTCTTCTGTTAAAGTTTGACTATTACAGCCATCAGATCACTTGTCCTCAGGGAAGGATGGGGGTTTAACATGAGAAAGCAAATCCCTGCAAGTCTACCAACATAGCTGCCTCCATGCAAAACTCAAAAAAATACAAACGTAATGGGGAAAAGATCAACTGCAGGGAGCCACAGGCAATACTGGAGACTAGATCTCCATTTCCTGCTTGCTTTTTTTGTGTACATCTTCCACAGATTAGGTCTTTCTTAATTCCTGTTCTATCAGACAACAATTAACTGGAAAAGAAATGAGGGGAAAGCTCACCAATATAGTAGTAAAAACCTGGCAGAGGGTCTAACTTTTGCATTCTCCAATAAACATTGTTGCAGTCTATGGCCACAGGGGGGAATATTAGTAACAGGTATACAGACAACAAATACTTGACAGAGATTCTCACCCTTTATTATTCTATCGGAAACTAAAAGTTGTGCCTATATTCAGCCTTAAAGTATTACAAAACCCAGGTTCCTGCATTATTATTATTATATAGGATTTATATAGCGCCAACAGTTTGCTCAGCGCTTTACAATATAAAGGTAGACAATACAGCAACAATACAGTTCAATACTAGAGGGTTAGGTGGGCCCTGCTCCTTAGAGCTTACAATCTATCACTATGTCTGGTCTCCCACAGTACACAGAGCATGGAAAATTTATCATTTTAGTTAACATAAACTGATAAATACCTTTTCTCATCAGCAGTATGTAGCAGTCTTGTGACTTCAATTAGTGTCTGGCTGAGCACAGGTTAAAGCTTGTAGGAGGAGTCTTCATTCTCCTTTGACTGTCCTATGAGGCTGCATGACTCCTGACCCTCTGTCACATCACCCCTGACCCTCTGGACATCACTGATTGGCCCTGTGCTGATTACATGCACCCTCCCAAAAAAAAAAAAAAAAACCTCTCTAGCCATACACACCAAACAGAGCATGTGCAGAGGGACTCCTACAGCTCTGTACTATCAGCAGATGGATTAGGGACAGTAGAATAAGGGGAGGATCAGAGAAGACAGGATCAACTAACCTTTTTACGCAATGCAGAGGATTAACCCCTTAGGTTCTACAGTGAGTATAACCAGCATGCTTTACTGTATATACAGTCTGGATTTAGTGTTGTGGGTTTAGTAACACTTTAACAAGAAAACACATACGATTTAATAAACACATTATTAATGTAAATGACTTACCAGTTCAGCAAACAGGTCAGGTGGTAAAGATTTAATCAATTTGCTGGACTTTTCGAAGCCTGTAAGAAATATTTTGCGAGATTGATGGCTCTTTGGTTTACAACATTAGGCAGAAAGCCATGCTGCTGTTCATAATAAAACAATCAGTACACTGGGTCAATTACACCATAGTGATTACTCCACGCATGCATGTTACCCTTCATTTATAAATGCATTGTGTAGCCGGTAGTGTTCCTCAGAGAGAGATCTGCTCTAAGACCAACCCTGGGTGAGCCCAGAGAACAACGCTGACAAATTGATGCCACTGCTGCTTATTGCATTAATATACTTTTAATGAAAGGAGAAGTGATGATACCACCATGAGCCTCAATCACGTCTAGAATGTTTTAGATGGGTTTTTGTTCCTAAGCCTACATAGGACAATGCTGAGCAATAAGAACTCATTTCTTTTTAGGGTTCATGTACACTGCAGCTGATAAACTGATGTTCAGGAGCTTTTCTGCATTTTTTGTGTTTTAGCAGCCCCTGAACTCTCCCTAATGTTTTCCTATGTGTCCATGTACACTATGTCATTTACAGGCAGTTGAGTTTACAGTGGTTTTTTTTTAATGCACCAAACTTGCGTTCAGGAGTAGATTTTATCAGCATTTCAAACGCCAAATGCTTGTAAATGCAGCTAACCACGTTTATAAGTGTTTGCGTTTAGAAACGGTTTTTAACTGTTCTGTATCCAAATGCTGTCCAGAGCCTTTTTTCATCATCAGAAATGCATGCAAAGCGTTTTCCATGTATTCAAATGGACCTAGTACACCAGCGCAGTCAGTTCCAGGTTTTACGTGAAGAAAAAAAAAAAATGGTAGAACATGCTGCATTATGCTCATGATGGGATCCATAGTGAATACAACCAGAAAAGATAGGTAATCTTAACACATACTGCTCTCTCTTCTGCTCTCTCTGCTCTCTCAAAATGTCTGAAATAGTTAATTTTTTACTGTTTTTCAGTGCATTCTGGGCAGTTTTGGAGGGTCTCCTGAGGTTATCGTAAAAAAACACTTCTAAACGCAAACGCTCATAAAACGCGGCTAAACAGACGTTTTTTAACCTGTTTTCCAGCAGTCAGTTTCCATCGTTCAGAAGTGTTTTCCAAACGTCCCGTGTACATGGAGCCTTATATCTCTGTGCTCAGTTACTCAAAGCCCAAAAGGATTCAAGGGATTTTTTTGCAGATGTGGTTTGCATTTTTGGCTCCCCGATTTCAATGGAGGCACCTGGAAAGGCGCAATACAAGTGTTTTTGTGTGTCTTTGCACCTGATGCACCAGCTATTCTTTTCTGGTATCCTCTCCCTCTCTTCCCACCCAGCAGCCTGCAAACACATGCACAAAAGCTTATAAAGCATTTAAGATAAACACATGTGCAAGCATGTAAAATAAAATGCCTGTAAAAATGCTTCCCTCAGCACTTACTAGGTGTGAATGGAGGCTTAGAGCGGGCCCCTGGCAATGAGCATGGACAACATTAACCTCTAGCCCCAAGGTTGAGTGCTGCAGGTTATCATCCAATCTGAATATCTTGTGGCAGAAAAGTACTAAGGGGAAGGCTCCAGATTAAATATTAAAAAAAAAAAATGTATAGAGATCTTGATTATCAGTGGAGAGGTTGGTCTCATCATGTGATTGGGATCTCCTCCTTTTGGCATTTTCCCCCAATAATTCATTAATATGTGTGGGGCTCCACTTACATTGGAGTCCTGAAGCAGGCAATGCAGAGGGCTTGTTTTAGAAAACTCTGCAGTGTGTTTTACAATGTGACATTTTTAGGCAACATTCACGGGGATGTTTGTATCGGTTTATATCCAACATCAGCTAAACGCCTGTAATCTGAACTTGAAAAAGTTTAAGTATTTCCTGCAGATAGTTGCAGTTTGTAAAAGAGTTTAGTTGTGTTTAGGTGCCTTAGTCTCTTTTTATTTTAACTCAGAAAAGGTTTATTGAACACTGATAGAAAATAACAATGACATTGGGAAAAAAAATGAGAAAACATCTACCTGCAAAAACTAGAACTCCAGCATTGACAGCAAGTTACATATCTTTGGGTACATCAAGCATGCTATGTATGGTAACTTTGATCAATAAATGACGGCAACAATAGTAATACATGTTACTAGTTTCCCAACACCTACACAGCAGAAAAATACAAAGTATCACACCAGTCCCTCCAAGTGCAGCTTTAGGCAAGGGTCAATCATAGTGGCTATGCCTATACTAAAAGCCTATCTAGGATGAGGTCAAGTGGGGTGAGCCCAGGAACTGCCAACCAGTTGTCAAATAGCTTCTCAAATTTCTTCAGGCATCCTCCATGCTGAAATATGACCTTTTCTAGCCTAAGAGTATCTCCCATAAGGTTACGCCATTCCCTATGAGTTGTGGCGTGATCAGACTTCCAATATTTCAGAAGTCGCCTAGCCTGAAAGAGTGCTCTGTTAATAGCAAGCAAGCTCATCCAATATACAACAGGCGGGTTCAGCTGGGATTGTAGTTTGAAAGACCCTATTTATAGTGTCCAGTAATGTTGTGCTTGATGTTCGAGTTGAACGCTTTGACAGTGCATTGTGATTGGCCAAAGCAATGCAATGCTTTGGCCAATTACAGCACAAGATGACAGCGGTGTTAAGAGCAGAGCAGTTTTTTTTTTTTTTTAGTTGGCGGTGGTGGCAGGCATCCTGATTGACGTTGGATATACTTTGAGGGACATTTTTTTTTTTTTTGTAAATAAAAGGACTTGTCAGACTGTCTTCTGTCATTTTTTACTACGCTTTTTTTGTGAATGAGTAGCAGTACCCCATACTCATTCGCATAGGGTGGGGGAGGGCCAGGATCTGGGGGCTTCCAGATTCCAATAAGTCCCCTGCCCACAGACCCCCACAACCACCGGCCATGGTTGTGAGGAAAGAGGCACCAGGGGAACCCCCCTACCCCCCCATGTTAAGGCCATGTGGCCTGGTATGGTTCAGGAGGGTGGGGGGCGCTCGCTCATCCCCCCCCTTTCCTGACCTGCCAGGCTGCATGCTTGGATAAGGGTCTGGTATAGAATTTGAGGGGGACCCCCATGCCATTTTTAAAAACATTTTGGCATGAGTGTTCCCCTCAAAATCCATACTAGTCCTGACAGGCTTCGTATAGACAGAGGGGGACCTCAAGCCATTTTTTCTATTATTTTAATTGCCCGCAATTCTTATTACATTCAGCTGTGACCGGGGAAACCCGCTGACAGCTGAAACATTATTATTATTATTATTATAATACTGGATTTATATAGCGCCAATAGTTTGCTCAGTGCTTTACAATATAACAGGAGACAATACAGTTCAATACAAGAGGGATAGGAGGGCCCTGCTCCTTGGAGCTTACAATCGAGGAGACATTAACCACCTCCCGCCCGCCATATAGTAATATGACGGGCGCAAGGTGGCTCTCTCGTTCTGGGAAGACGTCATATGACGTCCTCCCATTCTCACTGCTGCGCATGTGCATCAGGGAGCGCGCATGCGCTCAGGGAGCGCGCGGCGATCGGCGGTGCGCTGTGTCCCTCGGACACAGCGGATCACCGATCGCGGAAAGAGCCGAAGATGTCGGCTCGGTCATGTGATCAGCTGAGTCCAATTGCAGCTGATCACATGTAAACAGGGAAATGCTGGTTATCGGCATTTCTCTCCTCTCAATTTGTCACGCTGACAGCTCGAGAGGAGAGCCGGTAATCGGCTTTCCGCGGAGGGGACATGTACACTGATCATCAGGGCACTGATGATCAGTGTGCCCTGATGATCAGTGTGGCCCCAGAAGTGCCACCTGTCAGTGTCCATCAGTGCCAGCAGTCAGTGCTCATCAGTGCCTCGTGCCAGTGCCCATCAGTGCCACATATCAGTGCCTACAAGTGCAGATCAATGCCACATGTCAGTGCCCATCTGAGCTGCCTTTCAGTGTTACCCATCAGTGCCACCTATCAGTGCTGCCAGTCAGTGCCGCCTATCAGTGCTGCCAGTCAGTGCCATATATCAGTGCCATGTATCAGTGCTGCCTGTCAATGCCCATCAGTGCCACCTACCAGTGCCTGCTCATCATCAGTGCCACCTATCAGTGTCCATCAGTGCAGCCTATCAGTGCCCATCACAGCAGCCTCATTAGCGCACATCAGTGAAGGAAAAAAATCACTTATTTACAAAATTTTATAACAAAAACTTTTTTTTTTTCAAACTTTTCAGTGGTTTTTTGGTTTGTTTAAGAAAAAAAACCCAGAGGTGATTAAATACCACCAAAATAAAGCTTTATCTGTCACAAAAAAATTATAAAAATTTCATATAGGTACAGTGTTGCATGACCGCGTAATTGTCATTTAAAGTGCGACAGCGCTGAAAGCTGGAAATTGGCCTGGGCAGGAAGGGGGTATAAGTGCCCTGTAGGCAAGTGGTTAAAGAATGTTTTCACTACTAAAATACCACAACTTAATAATATAACTCATGAAGTATTTTAGTAGGGTTTTTTGGAAAAATGCTGTGCAGTATCTTACCACATACTTGGATGCAGTAATATACCGCTTAGTGAATTGTCCCAGTTCATTTTAGGGTGGAACATGTTCCCAATACTGCAGCTGCTGCCTGATCCCCCCTCTCCCTATGACAGAAGTATGGGGAGAAGTTCCCTAGCTGTTACTTTTTAAAACCAGTGTGGCTATGCGGGGCTCCGCTCACATGGCTGTGTCATTCATTCACAGAGTTCTGTGAATGAATGAACTACACATCCCAATAGCCTTAGCGGCTGTCGGTTTGTATTTCTCAATGAACTGCCATGGTGCTGTGGGCTAGTCTCAATGAATTGCCATGATGCAGCAGACTAGGACATTTTGCTAAAATTTCATTGCAGCAACTCAGTAGTTAGTATGTCCCCCACGTGCTTGTATGCATGCTTGACAACATTGGGGCATGCTCCTAATGAGACGACGGATGTTGTCCTGGGGTATTTCCTCCCAGATCTGGATCAGGGCATCACTGAGATCCTGGACAGTCTGAGGTACAACCTGGTGGTGTCGGATGGACCAAAACATGATATCCCAGAGGTGTTCTATTGGATTTAGGTCAGACAAGCGTGGGGGCCATTCAATGGTATCAATTCCTTCATCCTCCAGGAAGTGCCTGCGTACTCTCGCCACATGAGGTCGGGCATTGTCGTGCACCAGGAGGAACCCAGGACCCACTGTACCAGTGTAGGGTCTGACAATTGGTCCAAGGATTTCATCCTGATACCTAATGGCAGTCAGGGTACCATTGTCTAGCCTGTAGAGGTCTGTGCATCCCTCCATGGATATGCCTCCACAGACCATCTCTGACCCACCACCAAAATCGTCATGCTGAACGATGTTACAGGCAACATAACATTCTCCACGGCTTCTCCAGACCCTTCATGTCTGTCACATGTGCTCAGGGTGAACCTGCTCTCATGTGTAAAAAGCACAGGGCGCCAGTGACAGATTGGTGTTCAGTGGCAAATGCCAATTGAGCACTATGGTGCCGGGCAGTGAGCACAGGATCCACTAGAGGACATCGGGCCCTCAGACCACCCTCATGAAGTCTGTTACTGATTGTTTGGTCAGAGACATTCACACCAGTGGTCTGCTGGAGGTCATTTTGTAGAGTTCTGACAGTGCTCATCCTGTTCCTCCTTGCACAAAGGAGCAGATACTGGTCCTTCTGATGGCTTAAGGACCTTCTATGGCCCTGTCCAGCTCTCCTAGAGTAACTGCCTGTCTCCTAAAATGTCCTCCATGCTCTTGAGACTGTGCTGGGAGCCACAGCAAACCCTCTGGCAATGGCACATATTGATGTGCCATCCTGGAGGAGTTGGACTGCCTGTGCAACCTCTGTAGGGTCCAGGTATCGTCTTATGCTACCAGTAGTGACACTGACCCTAGCCAAATGCAAAACTAGTGAAAACAGTCAGAAAAAGATGAGTAGGGAAAAAAATGTCAGTGGCCTCCACCTGTAAAACCATTCCTGTTTTGGGGGTCAACTCATTGTTGCCCATCTAGTGCACACCTGTTGTTAATTCATTAACACCAAAGCAGCTGAAGCTGATTTAACCCCTCTGCTACTTAACTGACCAGATCAATATCCCAAGAGTTTCATTGATTTGATGCTATATTAAAAAAAGTGTTCCTTTCATTGTTTTGAGCAGTGTACAAAACCTTTTTTTTGGATAGGGTGGGGAGGGATTAGAACACCTGTTAAGCCAATCATAGATGAGTCAAAAACCAAACAACCATTTCAAAGCATTAATTTTTTGCATCATTAGTGTGCAGCTGCAACACACAATTTTCTTCTGAAAGTGCCTGATCCAACATGCTGGATCTGGAACAAATAATGGCACAATTGTATGAGCTATTTTTATTTTTCGAGTGATGTAATGTTAAGTTTTCTCATTATCTATGGCCTGCCTTGGGTTTTTATTGCTGGCTGTTCCCATTAGGCACCCTCTCAATTTGTCCTGGTAACCTGAACTGAACCTGAAAGAAAACCCCACATCTTGGGTTGTCACTAGAACAGGAATAGAGGATAAATATTTCAATAGGACACTAGTTCCAGTGACAACCAGGGATTCCCTGACTTTGGAGGGATTTCCTGTCACTTCCTGTTTTGGATCTGGGACGGGAAGTGAATGGAAATCTCTCAAATGGGACACAGATTGCAAAAAAAAAAAAAAAATAGACAGGCCTTATACCCTCCCTTATTCCATCCAAAATAAAGAGAAAAGGTTTTGCCTTTAGTTCTACTTTAAGACATAAAACTGTATATGTACTAAGGTGGTGATAGCACAGGTAAAGAATAAACTGTGAGAGATAACACCTATAACTCCATTCACAAATGAGAAGGATCCCTGTGACACACAGATCCAAGGCCATATCTGTGCACACACCTGGGAGTGTCCCTGGCCCAAACGCATGTCATCTATAGCTAAGCAGACACGTGATCTCAACCACCTACCTGCTCCTGACAGCTCCCTCTCCAACATCCTTACACCACAGTGTGACAGCACTATTTCCCATCATACCCAGCGACTGTCACATGAGCTCTAAACCATATGACTGCAAACGTGACAGTAGCAGCCATCTTTGTACCTGGAACAAGTGCCAGTGATGTACTCAGCATATTGCCATGTAATGTAACAAAACAAAAACCTGTCGGCATATACACATCGTTTATCTATTCTAGGACTATGAAGTCACCTTGTTTAACAATACACTTTTTTTTAGTAGCCACGCTGTGACAGCAGCCGCCATATTTGTACCTGGAACCCATGCCAGTGATGCACTCCGCATAGTGCTATGTAATGTAATAAAAGGAAAATGACAGCACGCTCACACAGATATATACGTCGTTCATATAGGACTATGAAGTCACCTTGTATAACAATGCACTTTTATGAGAAGTCAAGGTGTGATAGCAGCCACCATGTTAGTTCCTGGAGCCCATGCCAGTGATGTACTCCGCATAGTGCCATCTAATGTAAAAAAAAAAGGAACATGACAGCATGCTCACACAGATATACACGTCATTCATATAGGACTATGAAGTCACCTTAACAATGCACTTTTATTAGCAGCCAAGCTGTGACAGCAGGCGCCATCTTTGTACCTGGAAACCATGCCAGTGATGCACTCCGCATATTGCTATGTAATGTAAAAAAAAAACAAAAACTGTCAGCATGCTGACACACGTCGTTTATAAAGGGCTATCAAGTCACTTGGTTTAACAATGCACTTTTATGAGTAGCCAAGGCTGCTAAACCTCAAGACTCATTTACATAGATTGAAACAGCATATGGGAGCCCATTGGAACCGCCCATTAATGAGCACGCCTACCTGCTTTTCGCCTATCATATACAAGGGGCGGGCGTACGAATCAGGAAGAAGTAGAATGACTGGACAGCTCCGCCCTATGTTACATCATGAACACACCCGGCGCGTTGCATTGCTAGCCAATGCTGTGTGTCAAACTACACGCTTCGTGATCTGGAAGAGTCCATTTATAGCAACAAGGGGGAGGCGCCATTATCCCGTAAAGAACATATAACGGGCTGCTCAGATAAACGAATGAATACACCTTGTTTAGTTCATATGTTATTTTTAAAATATAGCCTTGTGATAATACCCTCTAGAAATGACTTTTCGCTGTGTATGTGATGGTAGCCGATATTAGAGCACCCCCGTGTTTGTAAAGTGAAGTGGCCCGTGGGTGAAGTTTAGCAGGCAGCAGTCTGTGGAGTGCTGTGACAGGAGAGTCCATAGGGAGTAGGAACAGGCGGCAGGAGCTGACACCATGCAGGCTATGCGCTGGCTGCCACTGGAGGCCAATCCTGAGGTGAGAGGTGCCATTCCTCCGGACTCATGGGTTCAGGGTTTGTGCCTAGGGAGCAGTGTTCACTCATCTTCTGCTTCTCTTGTAGGTTATGAACCAGGTGAGTGAGCTCCACACATTCCCCTCGTCTACTCCTCCTCTAGGGCCATGACTGGCAGAGCTGTAGGAGGGTAAGTGCTCAGTCACAGTATATGGGATCCCAGGGAAGGTAAGTGAACACTAAGGCTGGTAGGGTTGCCACCTCATCCCTTTAAAACTGAACACATTATTTACACAGATTCTGTGGCTGATTAACCCCTTGCCTCCCGGGCACTTATATCTCCTTCCTGCCCAGGCCAATTTTCAGCTTTCAGTGCTGTCACACTTTAATGACAATTGCGCGGTCATGCAACACTGTACACATATGAAATTGTTATTTGTTTCACACAAATAGAGCTTTCTTTTGGTGGCATTTAATTGCCGCTGAGTGTTTTATTTTCTGCTGTATAAACAAAAAAAGAGCAAAAATTTTGAAAAAAAAAAAAGTATTTCTTTGTTTCTATTATAAAATTTTGCAAACAGATAATTTTGCCTTCACTGATGTGTGTTGATGAGGCTGCACTGATAGGTGGCACTGATATGCAACAATGATGGGCACTGATATGTGGCACTGACTGGTAGCACTGCTGGGCACAGGTGGCTGGCACTACTGGGCTTTTTTGGATGGCACTGCTGGACACATGTGGGCGGCACTGCTGGGCACTGATCTTCAGTGCCCTTATGATCGGTGCCGATCTGTCTTCTGACAATTGCCGGTTATCGGCAGTACTTTCCTCACGTTGTGACAGCATGAGGAAAGTGCAGCCGATAACCAGGAACTGCATTTACCAGTGATCTGCTGTATCATTGGACACAGCTGATCACGTGGTAAAAGGCTGCTGTGATTGGCCTTTTACCACATCACGTGATCAGCTGTGTCCGTAGGTGCCCGTAGGACACAGCGATCACGGAGATCCCCTGCGGTGCGCGGGAGGGCACGTTCTGGGAGGACGTCATATGATGCCCTCCCAGAACTGGACACCTGCACTGTAGCCGTCATTCCGCTATAGCACGGTTGGCAAGTGGTTAACCACTTGCCCTCCAGAGGATTTACCCCCCTCTTCCTGAAGAGGCCATCTTTTGCGTTACGGCGCTGTGTTACTTTAACTGACAGTTGCACGATCATGCAGTGCTACACCCAAATGAAATTTATGTCCTTTTTTCCCCCACAAATGGAGCTTTCTTTTGGTAGTATTTGATTGCCTCTGCATGTTTTAATTTTTGCGCTATAAACAAAAAAAGAGAACGACAATTTTGAAAAAAAAAAAAAAAACCAACATTTTTGACTTTGCTATAAAACATATACCATACAAACATTTTAAAACCAAATTTCGTCTTAACTTTAGGCTAAAATGTATTCTGCTACATGTATTTGCTAAAAAAAAAAAAAAAAAAAAAGTATCCCAATACATGTAAATTTATTGGTTTACGTGAAAGGAATAGCGTCTACAAATTGTGGAATGTATACTGGAATTTTTTTTTTATATATTAGCTATGGCGGCAATCAGTGACTTATAGCAGGACTGTGGTGGGCATTCTGACACTGGGGGGGGACTGACTAACTGCCACTGACATCCCCACTGACACTAATACAGTGATCAGTGCTAATAACACTAATGACACTGGGCAGGAAGGGGTCAACATCTGGGGTGATCAAAGGGTTAACTGTGTGCTTTACTGTGTAAGCACGCTGCTTTGTTTTGCTCTGCTATGCAGAGCAATACAAAGCAGCATGCTTGTGCTGACAGGGGAGAGATCTGTATTGATTACATACAAACCTGGCGGGGAATTTCCGGCCGGGACCCAGTGATCGACGGCTGAAGCCGCCAATACCTGGAAATACATAATTTTTTATATATATGTGACTTTGTGCAACCCTGCCGCCCTGTAGCAGTACTTCTACTATAGGGCGGTCGGGAAGCGGTTAAGGTGGTAATTAACCGCTTCCTGACCACCCTCTAGCAGAACTACTGCTGCAGGGCTGCGCAAAATCACGTGTGTGTATATATAGGTGATTTTGCATTTCCGACTAGGGGCGCGCACCGCCTTTCCCGCGCCTCCATTGGCGGCTACAGGTGTCGATCACTGGGTCCCAGCCAGAGATTCCCCTCTGGCACCCGGCGATCGCCAAGGAACACTGACAAGGGAGAGGTCTGTATGAACAATACAGATCTCTCCCCTGTCAGCACCAGCATGCTGCTTTGTATTGCTCTGCATACTAGAGCAATACAAAGCAGCAATGCTTACACAGTAAAACACACACACAGTTAACCCTGTGATCGCCCCAGATGTTATACCCTTTCTGCCCAGTGTCATTAGTACAGTGTCTGCTTTTTATTAGCACTGATCAGGGGCAGACTGACAACTCATGGGGCCCCTGTGTCTTTACCCAAACTTGAAAAAGGTACCGGGGCATCTCATGGGGCCCCCTACTGACCCCGGGCCCTCGAGCAGTGCCCGAGTTTCCAAATGGTCAGTCTGCCCCTGGCACTGATCACTGTATTAGTGTCACTGGGGATGTCAGTGGCAGTTCCCCCCCCCCCCCAGTGTCAGAATGCCTGCCCCAGTCCCACTATAAGATGCTGATTGCTGCCATTACCAGTATTTAAAAAAAAAAAAATTCAGTATATACATACCGCCATTTGTAGATGCTATAACTTCCACGTAAACCAAATAATTTACACTGATTGGCATTTTTTTTTTAGCAAACCCGTGTAATTAATATTTGTTTGGTTTTAAAGGGATCAGGTGGCAACCCTAAAGGCTGGGCTTTCCTGCAGTTTTCCAGGGAATGCTGAATTACAGGCAGACTGCTAAATACAAACATACAATACATGTAAAGGATGTGTGATTCTGTTCATCCAGTTGAGATTTACACAGCTCTGCCACTCAGTACAGCCATGTCTGGCAGCACAAAATACCTGGTTTTCCATCCTTCAGTTACACTTACAGGTCTTGTTTCTCCCACAGTCTGTTAGTAGCCGGTGAAAGGACAAGCAGCAGACGCATAAGCTCATCCCTGTGCTCTTCTTTTTTTTTTTTTTTTTCTCTTTCTTTCTGTCAGCATGTTTTTTTACACTGTAGAAACAACTGATTGGCTGCCTTTGTTTGCTTTCCTCTCCCCATTCTAAGCTCTGCTATACAGTAGCTTTAAGAAGCCCTTATCAAGTCAGCAGCACAGTAACTAAGTGAATAATTAATATAGCAAACTTAAATAAATATAGTCAAATCAAAGTCCAAAAATACAGTCCAAAATACTTGAAACAAATCCAAAAGGCTCGGATCCTCAAACGAGCCCGATGATGGATTCCAGATATTCTTCATATACCTCAAACAGAATAAAGCCTCAACATAGTGTGTGTTATCTTAAGGTCTCATAAATGTGCCACACGTGTTGCATGAAAAAGACTTGAGTGCCACAACAATCGTGAAAAAATAAAACTAAATAAAAGTAAATATAAATCCACTGCACACAATAAAGTAAGAGTGCATAATTACCCGAAGGTAAATAAAACAGCATAGAATCCATAGTAGGAATGGAACTTCATCCAAATAACCTTCTCTGAATACTTCCCACAGACCTCATAAACAGACCAAGGGTCAGTGTGTGTGAATCAAAGAAGACACAATTTTATTGTAGCAACTTGCATAAAGAAAAGATGAAATCAGCATCCATACTGAGAGGAATGTACACCGCATCAGCACTCGGCGATAGCTCCAAAACAATGGACGTTCACATCTGAGAGAGAGAGTCTTAAACCACCTCCAATGGTGGTAGATGGAAATCCCGAGGATAGGAACGGCCAAGCGTGTACCAGAACCCAAAATGGCCACTGAAGCACTTCCGGAAAACATCAGTGCGTCACTACGTCACGTGCCTCGGACGCGTTTCGTCACATCCAGACTTTTTCAACAAGTTCGGATGTGACGAAACTCGTCCAGGGCACGTGACGCACTGACGTTTTCCGGACTGCTTCAGTGGCCATTTTGGGTTCTGGTACACGCGGGCTGTTCCTATCCTCGGGACTTCCATCTACCACCATTGGAAGTGGTTTAAGACTCTCTCAGATGTGAACATCCATTGTTTTGGAGCTATTGCCGAGTGCTGATGCGGTGTACATTCCTCTCAGTATGGATGCTGATTTCATCTTTAATTTATGTAAGTTGCTACAATAAAATTGTCTTCTTTGATTCACACACTGACCCTTGGTCTGTTTATGAGGTCTGTGGGAAGTATTCAGAGAAGGTTATTTGGATGAAGTTTCATTCCTACTATGGATTCTATGCTGGTTTTATTTACCTTCGGGTAATTATGCACTCTTACTTTATTGTGTGCAGTGGATTTATATTTACTTTTATTTAGTTTTATTTTTTCACGATTGTTGTGGCACTCAAGTCTTTTCATGCAACACGTGTGGCACATTTATGAGACCTTAAGATAACACACTATGTTGAGGCTTTATTCTGTTTGAGGTATATGAAGAATATCTGGAATCCATCATCGACTCGTTTGAGGATCCGAGCCTTTTGGATTTGTTTTCAAGTATTTTGGACTGTATTTTTTGGACTTTGATTTGACTGTATTTATTTATTCAAGTTTGCTATATTAATTATTTGTTTTTCCTTCGGGGGAAGGATTGTCTAGTGACTTGGTTGAGTATTATATTAGGGTGTGGTGGGTGTGTGCTGTCTCATTGTTACAGTAACTAAGTAGTTAGCACTTCCGCCTAGTAGCACTGCTGTCATCTGTTCAGATCCCAACCATGACACTACCTTCCTGAAATTTGCACGATCTCCCTGTGCCTGCATGGGTTTGCTCCAGGTACTCTGGTTTCTCTTTCACATGTGACGTGCTGGTAGGCTAATTGGCTCCTTTCTAAATTGGCCCTAGTACCTGTGAATGTGAGTTAGGGACCTTGAGTAGTGGTTTCACACTACTTGTATGGGAAATTGCACCACATTCCTGTTAAAATCATTACATTTTTTACGGGCTCAATTAGCAATTAGGAACTTTTTTTTTTCTTGCCACACCGGATTCGGATCACATGGGTTTTCACACCCATGCAATCCATTTCTTGCAATTGTACTGCATTTTGCAATCTGTTTTGGGGTGTCATTGATTTAACATTAACAGCGGTGGCAGATCCCATGAACGGAGTGCAATTTCAGTGTGGTGCCGCAAATACTCAGGATTCGCTTCATTTCCCTCATCACATATACGCTATATTGCCAAAAGTATTGGGACACCTTTCTAAATCATTGTATTCAGGTGTTCCAATCACCTCCGTAGCCATAGGTGTATAAAATCAAGCACCTAGGCATGCAGACTGCTTCTACAAACATTTGTGAAAGAATGGGTCGCTCTCAGGAGCTCAGTGAATTCAAGCGTGGTACCGTGATAGGTTGCCACCTGAACAATAAGTCCATCCGTGAAATTTGCTTGTTACTAAATATTCCGCAATCAACAGTCAGTTTGGTATTATATTGGTATTATAACAAAGTGGAAGCAAGTGGGAACAACAGCAACTTGGCCACAAAGTGGTAGGTCATGTAAAATGACAGAGCGGGGTCAGTG